ACAACCCGGGGGCCCCCCCCCCCCCCCCCCCCCCCCCCCTATTTCGGTGAGGCTTATAATAACAGATGTGTAAGAGGCAGAGTGACTACGGGAATGCAAGAGGTACGCATAATGAAGGACTGAGGTAACAGAAAAGGCTCAAGAACGTTAGCACTCAGAGTTGCTTTGTTTAAATGCAGAGACGGGGATACAGGACCACTACATTCAAAATGGGTTAAAGCACTCCAGTCAAGAGCACACACTGGAACATGTATGAGAGGGGCTCGTTTGATGTTTCTGCACCGAGGAAAAAGGCTAATAATGAGTATCATTGCAAATATAGGACACATCAGATTTTCACTTGCATTTAACTTCAGTCACAAGACTATTGATTTGGCAAGACATAACTCTGCAGGTGCGTCAGTTTATAAAACAAGGGCAAAACAGGCAGCCTATTTAAAAAGCAGGCAAGGGAAGAGGGAGTGTATTTCAGCTGCACTTTCAAAGAAACATCACAAATGAGTTTCCCATGCTGCAGGTATGACTGTAGCTGAAGGCAGTTCTCAACTACTGTTTATTCCATAACACAGGAATGGCCAATGCCGGAGACTCTAGCCCAGCAGTGGCTGTGTAAGTTACTTTATAGAATTGCAGAAACTTTGTAAAAAAGGATGTCGGTGTATAATGAAGCTTAGAGAAACAGAGAGCCGTGCCCATGAGCTATTTTAGAAAAGACTGGAAGGTTTCACTGAAGTAGGTCTAGCTACTTACGAAATTGGTTTTGCCTGTCCTAATGGCCTGATGTATTTCAGCTGCATGGGTGTCAGCCTCACTTCAACATTTAATTAGAAATATCTCTGGTATTATTTAGCAGTTCATTGTCCTTCTTGGAGGTACTTCTGATTGAAATGTCACCTTGTGCTACTAAATGCATATGTGGTGATTTCTAGACAAGTTGCGGAGGAAATCCAATTTGTGAACATCCTCAGAGCTAGATTCAAGTGATTTACTGAGTTTAACACTTGTATGTTAAGCAAAAGATGTACTTGCAAAGATAGAGATTCTTGAAGGTTTAGGAGAGGGTCCACCAGGAGGAAGCATTAATATTAATTGTACTTTAAAGTTAAGTTAAAAAGACATTGAAATATGCCACACGACCAAGAGAAGAGGTGTCCCAATTCCATGTTAGACAATTACTATTATGTTATTTGACAAGAGAGAGGGACATGCGAGTTACTTAACCTTCAAGACTTACCTGCTCTGTCCTTCCCCAAACTACCTATTTTAGCAGGCTTTTCATAATAGCATAAGATAAACAAAGAATGAGTAGCATGCACAGAAATCATGTTGTACAAATAAAAATGTATTTCTGCTTATACCTACGGAACACAAACAAACCTAAATCCATATGCATATTTAAATCAAGTAAGAAGAAAAAGTGTAGAACAGATGGCTTCACTAATGGCACATCAGCAGCTGCAAGCCCATTTTGCCTGCCAGTGATTAGGTTTCTACCAATTACCCTTTAGAGTGTACCATGACAGTTGCCATTTGTCTAAATCTACAATTAATGATGAGCAATACACAACTAGCAAATATGACAGGAAACAGATGCACCAGACAGGTTGCGTCAAGCATCTTTGACTTGCAAAGTACACCAGATACAAGGGGGATACAGTTATAAGCATCAACATACAATTGTTCACTAACTTATTTTTAGAGGGCTACTTGTTTTTTATTCTTTTGTAATCCATTGAGTTGGCATCACTGAGTTCAGCTAGCTTAATGCTGTGGAGAAATTCTGCTAAAAAACTACAATGTCCAAGGAAAAACAGACTAGAAATAGAAGTCATGGTTTTCTTCTTTAGGACCTTCAAACTGAAAGATGTCGGTTGTCGTGGTGACATTAGGTGCGGTACACCTTCATAACGTTCCTGTGCATAGCAGGACACAGAAACAACATGTACACAAAACTCACATAAGGGAGCGGACCATTACCCTGAGTTGCTACTAATAGCATTTGATGTATGTAATAATTTCATCCCATTATTTTAGCTAGTTTATACATCTGGATAAATTGGCATAGGAAAGATTACTGCTGCTTCTGCAAATCTTCCAGATTTCACAGAAACAATTAGAGAATGTTGCATGAAGTCCAGCGACTTCCAAACCCCTCCCATTCTAGCTCTTAGACAGTATTAAGTTATCTTATCTGGTCCTTAGAAGACAGCATAATATGTTCTCTTTCAGCAATCTTCTCTTATTGAATGACACTACTAAAGGATATATACATTCTTCACAACACATTGAACCTGCACAAGAAATCTACATTAAAACTACATGCTACCCAAAACTGAAAGGGGAAAAGGAAAAAGAAAGTGCAAAAAATTCTGCACACACTTTTGCAGATACAAAGGCAAGTGCAAACTCACCTCTTGGGGAGGAATATCGAAAGAGATGGTCCTCATATCAACTTTGATGAAGCTGTCTGTGCAGGGCAGGACAAAAAACAAACCTGTACAAAAAAAATCCATTCAAGAAGATGTGAAAATGGGTCATTAAAACAGATGAAACTTGCTACTGAAGTAAGCTTAAATCCAGCCACTGCAGCTGTATAGCCCTCTTTGTAATGAGCTCAGCAGCATGTTCGTTAGTGGCTTTCAAATCAGGATAAGATTTTCAAAAAAGTATGCTGAGAAACTTCCATTTATTCACATCTAACTTATTTTGAGATCTTTAACATTTGGAAAAAAAACCCAGAACTGTTAACAGTTGTTGAAAATTTGTCCCATATAGTTACTTGTGGGGCCTAATTCTGGCAAGCAGAAACTGTCAACCTCCTTTTGTTCCGGTGGATCACTGTAATTCTTCAACCTTACAGCAATGTGGAAGTATTGCAAAATCTGGATGAAAATGAAGGAAGAAGCTTTTGCCCCTTTCTGTCACTTTGAGCAGCAGGAGCAACAGCTGAAAATAACATCCTTTCAGATCTCATACACAGGAAACTTTTCAAAACTATCAAATAATTTAATTGCTTCTATTTCTTTTGAAGAACATCAAGGCTTTCAGAGCATTTGAAAACATATGTGTATGTGAGCCATTTAACTCACATACTAAACTGCTTTTTTAAAATGGCACATTTGATGCCATTATTCCTCCCTTTACACTCTGTGCTTTTGATTCTACCTGAAGACCGTACATTAACTAAGGAGATCTGGGTAAGGATCACAGACAATTAGTTTACTATCTTCTCCATATAAAGTAACATATCCTCTTACTGGAAGTTACAAAGTTCTTGAGAAATCCATTCGCCAGTCTAATGCAATGTCTCTAGACAGCTATTATTTTGCCGATGACTTAATTAGAACAAAGACTAAGAATGCTCTCCAGGACATACCTGGTCCCTTTGCTCCCCCTTTTAAGATGCGTCCAAGTCTGAATATGATGGCTCGCTCGTATTCCTTTATAATCTGTAATAAATAGTTGGATGTCATGCAAGGGTTTCCAGAAGCCATGCGACGGATGCCAAGCTACATATACACTAGTCTAAGACGGACTTAAGACTCAAATGTAACATATGTTACATTTCATTTCTATACTGGCTTCTTCTGAGAATTTTAGCCTAAACTTTATTGTCAAAAAGCAAACAGCAAAAGGAACAGTCAGGACAATATTCCACAAGAAATATTCTTCAGACTATGGCACCATCTATCAACAGCAGAAGCAACAGCACGTCATCTGGGCAGGACCAAGCACTAGAAGCAGCCATCAGGAATATCCTGGCAACAACAAAACAAAGTGCAGGATACGTGACCCAGCAGAGGTTTTTCCAGCTCTAATTCTGATGCGGTGTATTAGCCAAAACAAAGCAGGAGTTATTTCCTCCAGTCTGCAAACTGAGAACATCAAGCTCAAAGCAATCACAGATGACACATTCTCTAAGAATCTGTCACATACAGCCACATATCTGTACATACTTATATATTTATATACTTCATATTTACACACATACATATATAGGGAGAGATCTCCTTAAAAAAAAAATATCATTCCTCCAAGAGTAATTACGTGTTCTTGCAATTGTTCTGATCTTCCAAACTAGCTTATATACTAATGGCAACTGGGTAGATGTAGTAAAGATGTCAATGCAAAAATCATTTTGACTAAATCCTGCAATCACATTTTTCTTTTTGTTTTGAAGATTAATGCACCAAAATGTTGGGGTCTGCTATATACTGCCTGTTACAGTTCAAGAAAGAATAAAGTTAGATTAATTTGTGTTTAAAACAAATAAATAGAGAACAGTAATAACCACTAGGAGGCATCTGCATTGCTTAAAGTTTTAATCCAACTTAGCAGTGAACAATTTTACCTTTATGCACATCCAGATTGATATAGGAAATGTAAGAACAGTGAAAAAAAGTGAAGTGATCACCAGGATCCATCCACACAAACCAAGGCCAGTATCAGAGTCATCTGCAAGAAAAGAGTGCCCGTTAAAGAAAGTGCCTACAGTTGGATATTTGTGTTGAATATTCCTTGAGATAAGCCACTGTTAGCACCACTCCTCTGGCCAAACTGATTGGGTTTAGGTCAGAAGTCAAATAAAAAGCCAAATTCTGCTATCATTTTCACTAGTCTCTAGCAGTTGCACAAGATAGCTGAGGGTAGAACGCGGTCCAAGTAACATTTATGCAGAACTAAGTATGCCAACATTTAAGTATAGACTCTCAGATGCTTCCCTCTTCCTCTGCTAGTTTTCTCTAGCAGAATGACCAATAGGCAGCAGTAGAAATCCTGTTCTTTTATTGTCTAAGGAAGTCAGAGCAACACTTGCTTAATGAATTAAATGCAAATACTCCATGGCCTATCAACTCTAGCGACAGGACATTTAGAATTTGGTTTATGTTCCAGCTGTCATAGGTGCAGATCTAAGAAAACCGTCATTCTCAGAACTGTTGTATCTAGGCAGAAGGATAAGATGCAGTGCAAGATTAGCTGGACATGAAATAAAGCCTCTATAAAGCATTTCTTGGCCAAAGACTCCTTATGCTTAGAAAACAAACATCGTAGTTCTCTGTCACGAAATGACACCAACTGAAGCTATTTCCAGAATCAGCAAATAACAAGAGCTAGTGGTTTCAAGTACTACACAGCTAAAAAAAGCAACGCAGCATGACAAAATGGACATGCTGGGAAGCATTCATAAAGCTATAGGAAGTTTCTTACCCTGCCAGCTAAGACTCCTAACAGGCTGCCAGGAACCCACTGCCAAGTGGGGGTATCCCAGGGTGAAACCGAGCACTCACAACCATCACATTCCTACTGTGGAGATACTGAAATTCAATCTTTCTCACTCCACCCTTTAAAAAGCCAAAAGTACAAAATGCCAAGAAGCACCTGCAAAGCTTAGAAAAACACAATTCTCACATTTAGATGAAAGAATGTTGCTTCTGGACCACACTTCCTGACTTTGCTGAACTGTAACTATCCTCTTACAGTGCTGCAAATATGCAAACATTACCCTAACCTTGAAAGCGAGTCATAGCCAATAATAGAATATACTTTGCAAATTTCGATCCACAATATTTGCATATTCGCTAGTCTCTAGCAGTTGCACAAGATAGCTGAGGGTAGAACGCGGTCCAAGTAACATTTATGCAGAACTAAGTATGCCAACATTTAAGTATAGACTCTCAGATGCTTCCCTCTTCCTCAGTTTTCTCTAGCAGAATGACCAATAGGCAGCAGTAGAATCCCGTACCAATGAGCCTGACTGAGAAATCTGGCAAGATATTACCCTAACCTTGAAATATGCAAACATTACCCTAACCCTGAAAGCGAGTAATAGCCAATAATAGAATATACTTTGCAAATTTCGATCCACAATATTTGACTAAAGTCATGGAAGTCAGCAAAATGACTGGGAACCAATATTGAAGTTTCCAGTCCTCTTTTTCACCGATTGTGGGTCTTAGAGCTACTCCTAGCCTTTCAAATAAGATGGAATATGGAGGTGGTGGAGAATAGTAAGTTTTTGTCGCACACAGTATCTTGAACTTTATGAAGTGTCTCAAAGCTTCTGAAGCCAGTTGGCTATCTTACCTGTAATTTGTATCCCTGTCACACGCCAGTATAATAACCCTCAAGGACGTGTCATATCATGCGTCATTTTAAAGTTCCTCTATGGAAAATTACCTAAAGACATTCCCCCACAGGTTTATTATTACATAGTGGAAATACCAGATTAAAGGAGTAATTTCCAGGCCTCCTGCGAAAGCCAAGCAAATGCATTACCTACACAGATCAGTATTAAGCAGCTGTCAGCATTAAGCAACATCTGTAAACTCATTAGTGAAGGGAACGTTACCTTTCATTTAGCAACAAGGTAGTAGACAGCCTAAAACCATAAAAAGTATTCACAATCGACACTGACAGGGAGGAAAGGTCTCCTTATCTCTTTTACTTAATAACTTTTATAAACCTAAAGGAGCTGAGGATCCTGCTTCAGTTCTGCTTTACAGTTTAACATCAAGTCTTCACTGCCAACCGCCCACCTGCTCTTACCAGAACTACAGCGTGGAAAAAAATTATCCATTTGCTTCCATGTTGAACAAGAAGGTAGAAGTCACAACTCAAATAATGTAAAATTTAAAGATTGTTGCTAAATAATGTGTGCGCTTACTCAATGATTGTCCCATCATGTGATATATTTCACAATACAAAAAGCAAGAGAGATGCTGTCTCGTGAAAAACTACAAGAAACATGATTGGCATCTGTGGAAGAGCTTTCTTATTGCAATTTTTTAACATCTCATTCACAGATCTTGGATAATTTCATCAATGGGCCATTCTTGCCAGATTTCTCAGTCAGGCTCATTGATACGGGATTCTAAATAGCAGCTAGTTCAACAGTACTGAAATGAGACTGACAGAGAGGGTGCAGATGTAACAACCTCAGATGCACCTCTGGCCCATGATGCATAGCCCAGCCCACCCAATGTGCTGGGGTTAAAAAAAAAAAAAAAAAAAAAGATTTTACACCACACTAAGTGGCTACAGCATACCGCCTGCCAGCCCTCTTTCACCCATCACATATGCAAACCTTTGAACAGAGACAAAACGTATCTTTGCTTTTGGCAGGCAGTGTCAAAGAAGAGCTCAAAGAGATATTCTTTTCACTAAGACCCCACAAAACAACTAGAGAACTACTGAAAACAGACTTTCAGCATATTTTGTGATCCAGATGCAAAGCAAGGATAAAAAGTTTGCCTTTTATTTCTTAGCTGCATCTGTAGCATTCGAGATTAGGTAAAGAGAACTAGAATAAAAAATAAGGAAAAATGGTTTTGTAGTGAGGGTTCTGCCTGGGAACTCTAGAGAACTGGGTTTTGCTTCTCCCTAAGCCAGACTCCCTACGTGACATTACTGATATCAATATATAATGAAACTCAAAAAGGAGAAATGCAATTTACTCCTCCCAAAGAAAAAGAACAAAAACCCCCAACAAAACCAAAACCTTGCTCATACAACAGATGCATGATCATTAACAATAATTGCTGGGGATATATATTTAAATATTAATATACTGTAATGTATGCAGTTGCTGAAAAAGCAATGAGAAAAACAATGTAATGGCTTCAAAAAACAGACACCACCAAAAACTCAGATGATGTTAAAAACATACACTGCATTTTCTCCACTGCTATTGCTGTTGGGAGCTGTCCCTCGTTCTAAAGGCGCTATGACTTGCAGAGACAAGGCCTAGAAAATATAATCATGAAAGAAAAGGACAAATAGATGGTTGTATTACAGCTGTTACTATTAATCATAGAACTGTTATTAATCATACAAATAATTTATATTAAGAAATAATACTCTTCAATGATGAAAACATCCACTCCGTTTCAACTATTCTCTGTTGGCCGTGAAAAGATGCTCGAAGCCCCACTTACGCCAGAACAAGCCCAACTCCACCATCTCTAACCATTCCACTGGAATTTTCTTCTAAGTTAAAAAACAGACAAGCCCACAACGTGAATTTATAGCAGGCTGTTGGTGCACAAACCAAGGCAACCAACCACAGCTGCAACTGTGCAACTTGAAGGCTTCTGCACTGCAGCACAATCACTTCTTTAGCACCCCTGCTTAACTTTTCATGCAACCTTTATTATTTTTAAATACATATATATATTTAAAAAGAAAAATCCATTCATATTTCCTAGTTTATTTCCTTTCCTTGTAGGAAGACAATGTTTGTTTCATTACAAGATGGACCTCCACCCATCTTGTTCCTCCATCAACTCAGTCATCCTCCATGGCATTGACTGCCATACACACATGCAGCGATGTCAGATACATCATGACTTTGCATCATTTCACATTAACAGACAAAGAGAATCCCTTCAGGTCTGGAGATCCAGCATTCACACAATTTTCTAACAACTAGACTAAAAAGAATGGGGAAACCACACCCTGGAACTCAATTAATTAAAAGTCAAACTACTTACAAAATATGGGTGCTGCAGATTCACCCAATGCTACCATTAACATTCTAAGTCCATGTTCCAGAAATTCTTTTAGATATGTATATGTATTTTTTTGCCTTCCTTAAAAGGTTTTAAAGCTTCAAGTTTATTTCAAGTAGAGTTTAGGGAATTGCAAAATATAGTATCATTCCAAGGGATCAAACACAGAGATACCAGGTTATCAGCTAGGCCTCTGATTAAGAGCAAAACCTGGTTCTAATCTCAAGCAATTCATAACTATCATCTTTTCTCTTGGAAACAGTGTTGAGTTCAGGATTTTTTGAGCAGATAGATATATGCAACTAGCTGTTAGAATAATATGCTAAAGGCAGTATGTGTGGAACAAAATTAATTTTTTTCCGTAACAGTGAGACATTTTAAATTTGCAAAGAAATAAACAATTTCAGTCTGAAAAAGTACGTTTGAACTAGCCATACCAATACAGGAAGATGACCTATAAAAAAATAGAAAGCCTAAAAATAAATCAAAGTTACTTGAAAATAAGTAGTGTTAGTATTCTAATATTTTATTAAATACAAATGTTTAACAACCTCTCTTCACAACTGCAGCTATCATGAACAGCTATGATTTAAAATCAACTATTGACATAGAAGAGTTGCAAGGCTTAATTACAGGTCAGTCGTGAAGCAGTTCTCCATGCTGCAAATGCTGATGAGGCACCAACAGCAGAAAGTCCATTTTTTTAACTTGCAGTAACTCTAGGTACTCAACTTTGGTTCTCTCCTCCTTGATTTTCTAAAGTGCCGAACACTCTGTCAGATACCCTGACAGCGTCAGTTCAAACACTTGTGATATTCTTGCTCTTTTATTATCAAGATATTAAAAACTCACACCCGGAATTTAATCAGAGGAATCTTATTTGCGGACAGTCTGCAATAGATTACGTACCTCTTTAAGAAATAAATCACGAGGAGAAAGAATATTAAA